TTGTTACATCATCATGAAAAACTGTGTCCGGAAAGTAGCTCTCAACAACTCGGCGGCCCTTCTCTTCCTTCTCAATGCTAATATGTCCACACATCGGAAGCTCCAAGAGGTCACATGCGACCCTTAGCGCCCCGATGCCATCGAACAGTCCCACCGACAACACTTGTATGTATTCCTGGGCCTCCACGACCTCCCCCCGAACCTGAGTTCTGGAAGCAGATAAACCATAGGAGGTCAGACCCGAGGAAACACAGATTCCCCCTCCCTCCGAGGAGGCATCACTGCAGGTTGCGTGGGGCTGGATCTTCGTCCTAAAGTTCATCTGCGCTAAGGGGACCAGAGCCATAAACCTTGCAATCTCCAGCTGCACCTGCGCCGGTAATTCCACAGCTACCACCGGGGGATACGCCTTCAAATCCTCCATGAAAGTCCAGACCCCATTTAGGGAGCACAACAAAGGCCTCCGAAACATGCAAATATATACAAAGCCCCCACAGATAACCTGGAGTTCTCGCAGCGTGACCCTCCCCCGGCGTAGGGCTTCAAGCCCCAGGAGGACATACTGCCACACTTTCATAGGTTTTGCAATGGCAACCCCTGTATCTCCCAAAACCAAAGCACCCTGAACTTCAGCTCGCATCGCACGCACCACGGCCTTTTTTGGGTGCCGCGGCAGCTCCATGGTCTGATATGTCTGTCTAATAGCCAGGACCTGTGCACTTGCCTGCCCACTGATCAAAGACGCCAACCCAGCATCTACCTTCTCAATCTGATCGAAATTGTCAAGATAGACCCGAAAAAGATCGTTCCCCAGCGGGAACGCTCTGTCTTTTCTTATCTCTTGGTGAGCGCCCGCAGGATATTCCATTTGACAACTTGACCACTTGATGATGTTGCGATGTATGTGTTGCGCTATTGAAACGGAGTTGCAGTACCCCATCGGGAGTACTTTGGCCACCAACACACAGTCCTGTCCTTTCAAATGGGCTGCCTTAACACTCTCAGGTACTAATCGATTGAACCCCATGTACTGCCACCAGTAGCGAACAAGTAGAAGAAACAGCGAATGTCTTCGCTGGAGAGGAGGGCTACCTCCCCCTCTTCCAGCAAAAACGCTGTCATTGAACTTAGCACGGGTAGAGTCATGATGTCACTGTGGAGACTCTTGCGCAAGGTGTTTAGCGGGGTCATATTCATTATGACCCGTTGCACTTCCGTGGTACCATCGAATTCCCCTTTCCCTACTGCGAATAAACCATTGAGCAGTGGGGCACCTGCAACCTTCGCAATCCTACTCAAAGGGTATACACCTCACACACGTTGTGCTCACACAACCCCTTGCACAGGGGTTCCCACGACTCCGCCGCTACCATTACTTTTGGAGCAGCGACATTCGTACGGAGTTCCTCCGGCAACAGATAGCCCTCAAAGTTTTCAACAAACCACAAGGTACCATCTCTATAAAAGTCCCTGAGCTGTAGACTCCCTACCCCATGAGGCAGGGAGCCTTTCACACCATCCCATGTCAACACCTGTGCCAAACGGATTTCATCCTCGTTATACGCAATCCCTTTAGTCTGAAAAAAATCCCGAAAGTTCACCCGAAAAATGGGTTCATCCCACATTGGAAATCTCAGCAGCTGCTCCTCCACACTTTTTCTCAGGTGCGGACACGACATCAATGTCTGCAACCCTCCAGTGTCTTCTCCCTGACCGGCCAAGGACTGTAAGGCCAAAAAGGTCACGGAGTCCCACTGCGCCCTAGGAGTTGTATCAAAACTGGCATCAGCTTCAGCATTACCTAACCTATCACGGCTAGATTCCACTGAAGCAAAGGACTGGGACTTGCAACGCAAACAAAATTGAAGACACCAGTTCAACACAGCTCCCAGGTCAGAAAAGGTCTGCACTGAATTTAGGAGGGACGCCATCACGGCGCCACCTCCCACTTTTCCACCACATTCAAAGGAGGTGGGATCATCCCAGACTCCCCCAGCGCCACCTAGGCGAGCCTGCTGTGCGTCTGCCTCACTTCTCTCCACAGGTACACCAGCTTTTACTGCTTCCTCACCTCCCCCAATAGGAGGTACATAGGCACTCAATCCTTCTTTTTCGGGGCGCCCACTGCCTTGGGCTCTGCTCCTCCTTTGCCTTCGCGATCCTTCCCTTTGCCTTTTGCTTTCCCTTCTGTCCTTTTTCTGCAATGTCCTGCCGAAATCCTTTGGAGACCCCCTTGGCTGCCTTCTGTAAAACCTTCTCCTCTCCCCGCGCCTGCTTCGCCGCAAGTTGCGTCTCGCTTGCACTGGCTGACATACTCTTCTCCAGCTTGATCAGCTCGAACTGGTTCGTGACGGAGTAGTGAATGCCCTGGCTCATAGCCTCCAGGGCTTTCATTCTTTGAGTGGCAATATCCATTGCCATTGAGGCGTTCCCCCCCAGGAGTTTGTCCACTATGCTGGATAGCGTCATGAACTCCCTCGCCATGGGGGGTGACACCTTGGATGCCACTTGACTCCTGAAATACAGGGTGGCTATAGGCGGGACCTTCCCAGCCGTAATGTCCATCTGATGCCCTTGCGCTGTCACCAAGTATTCTTCACTGTCCTCTATCCAGGAGTTGGCCAGAGTCCCCGGGTACTTGTGGAATATCTCCTCCACCTTCCTTCCCTCGGAGAAAAGTTTCGTTTGACCTACCCTGGCCGACTCCCCCAAGGCACTGCTGCTGGAATCGCTTCCTTCGCTGCTCCTGCTTGAGCTCCGTCTCCTCTTCTTGCTGCGTTCTTCGTTCAGCTTCTTCGCTCTCCTCATAAAGCGCTGCCTCACCTCTGGGCTCGGATCTAGACTTGTATTCCCAAAGAGGGCTACTAACTCCTTTTGGGGGGCGGCCCTCTTCTTTGAACTTGTCCGTCTTTCTTTTTCTTCCGATCGCTGGAGCTCCTCCGTCGCCTCCTTCGACTTCTTGACCGACCTGGCCGGTCCTCCTGTTTCCGGAGAGCCTCCCCCTGCAAGGAGACTTGCTGAGCTTCCTGCCTCATAGGTGCCAACTCGTCCTCTCCGACCCCTCCTTCTCTTCTTGGCTCTTCCTTCAAGTTGGTCATCCATGGCTCCTCCCCCAAATCCACCGGACGGATTTCACCACACTCAACCGTCTGGTCAGACCAGGAGGGCGCAACCCCCTCCCTCGAAGGAAGGGTTACCAATACTTCCTTCTTGTCAAGCCCACTCAAATACTTCAACAACCCTTCGCTGCGGGTTCCACTCACCTCAACACGAGCGCACTCACGGCCGGCAGCGCGCTCCAACCGCAACACCTGCCCAGCCAGCTCACAAGCCGCTTCCCAATACCTACCTTTAATTGCAACTGTTTTCCACTCAAAGAGTTTGCCTCCAGAGGTTGGGTCAGCAGGGGTGTATGCTGCACCTCCACCCCCCACCTGTGCCTCACTGGCTGCTGGCCTCCTCAACCTAGCGCCTCCACGAACCACTGCTGCGGGGCGCCTGATACGAATCTTTGGAGGCATGGAATTGCTCCCAGCCGACTTCTCTCACCTGGCTATTCCTCCACCGCTTTTTTGCACCTCTGTTCTTTTGCTTTGGCACAGCAGGCCGTCTCACAAGCGGTGCCCTATCGTCGTACTCCCCCCTTGGCCTGCGCTCAGGAGTACGGGGCCTGATAGGCGACCTAGGCCCTAGGAGAGCGGACCCTAGCCTCTCCCCCAACTTCGGTTTCCAAATCGGGGGAGAATTTCCCCTCACTTTCGGATTCCTCCTCCTCAATGGGGCCGTCAAAATCCTCCGGGACAGACCTGCTGGGACTGGCCTTCACCTTCGGGGCGGTGGTCCTTAATGCCTCCGCTTCTGAAACCTCCTGAGCTCCTCTAGCCACCTCCAATCCTTTTGGATTGTCCTCTTTTTCTTTTGCAGGATGTTCACGTCGAGGGCTTACTTCGGCTGCTTTCTCCCTGTGGCGTCTCGTCTCCTACTCCTCGACCGCGATCTCTCCTTAGATTTGTGCCTCTTTCCTTCACCCCTCCCACTACCAGGAGGGCCCAGTGAGGGAGACTTGCGCTTGTGTTTTTTGTCCTTGTCTTTGTGGCGCTTTTCCTTCTTTTCCTTAGGAGAATGAGGATGCTCTTTCGCTGGCGGTGTACCTGCTGCTATTGCTCCCTCACCTTTAGGAGCTGTTTCCTTCCCCTTACTAGGAGAAAGGGGTGGCGCCCCTTCTCCCCCACCTTCAAGGGGATCTTTCTTGTCTACCTCCGCTAAGTCCAGGAGTTCGCTCTGGAATACCCTCAGCCTCTCCAAGGCCAGGGTCCTGTATGCACTACTCGCTTCCTGGTCGGCGCAGAGATTCCCAATCCGTTTCAGGGCCAGGCAAACCCCACACACGCAACCCGGCTCACTCCCTCCAAAGGAGTGGCCAGGCATGAAACCCTCAGCAAAAGCCAAAAGCTGCAGCATGGAACATCACCTGTTTGTTTTTAACTACGAAACGACACATCATATATATAACAAGAGCAACAATAACAATATGTTTACACAGTTACAAACACACATAATGTATATATATATATATACATAAAAAATACATTTTGGTCAAACGATAGATACACAAAAAATGCACATATACCATGTATTGCAGCCAGATTCATAGATACATATATATTGCCATAATATAATACATATACCCTCTGGTTATTTAACATAGCCATGGAAAATGGCCCATAGAAATAGATTGTTTACCTATTAATACCATGGTGATGTTCCATGGCTATGTTAAATAACCAGAGGGTAACAATTTATCGATTCTATTATACCATTGGTGTATTTATAAATATATATATATATATATATAATGATTATTCTAATAACAACAATAACCAGAGGGTATATGTATTTAAGTATTAGACCATGTTGCTGAAAAATCATCACAAAAAAACATGGTTTTTCCCAATCGAAAATTCTCACCCTCCGCCGTTCCTTCCGCCGCCGCTCTCCGCCTTCGGGGATGTTGTGAATGGCGATGGCGAAGGCCATGGGCACCCCGAAGCTGAGATCCTCCAAAGTGGCCACGAAGGTGGCCAGGCCTACTTTCGCGGGCGACGCGACGCGATGGGCGACCCCCCAAGAAATGGTGGGTAAATGATGGGTAAGTTGGTTCATAAGTCCAATTTAATGATAGTCAAGAAATCTCTACAGATAATGGGGATAGAATGGATGGATATATATATATATATATATCCATATATATATATATATATTGCTAAATGATGGTAAATGGTGCTTAAATGATGGTAAAATGATGGTTAAATGATGGTGAAATACATTGATTCCAGTGAGTATTTTTGGGATTTCACCAACCTTATGGCTTTCTCTAATCGTTTTGTTCTGATGAGGAATGCTGATACAACGGGATACGAATGGAATAATCTCACTTAGTGCATGGCCAATCTTGGATCGACCTAGTTGACCCTACTTAGGAGGGTAAGTCTTCGGTACATCGGTAAAGTAAGTCTTCGGTACTTATGGTTACTGAACAATGATGGTCAATGAATGAATCCAACGATAGTCAGTGATAGTCAGTGATATTTAATGATAGTTAATGATAGTTAGCCCCAGTCTGTATTTTTCGTAGTATGTTGTCGTAGTGTTGGTCCAAAATAGGCAACTGCCAGTTAATATAAATAGTTGTACCACATTAATCGTTAGTATGTTGTATTGACCCCTCTTAGGAGGGTAATTAAGTGAGTTACTTATGGTTACTGAAAAACAATATACTGAGGGTAAGTCTTGCTGAAAAAATATGAGAATACTTCACTGGGGTAGTTAGCGTGAAGTGCTGGTTGTCATGGCCAATCAGTCAGATACCCTGCAAAAAAATACAAATTCTTAGCTGGTGAACGTAGATTATCCCATTGATACCAAAAGACTAGTTAGGATTAGTTTCTACCCATCCAGTCGATTGTACATATGTATTGACCCCACCTTGGAGGGCAAGTCTTGGGTAAGTGGCTTACTGACGAATTTCTAATACTTCACTGGGGTGATTCATTGCCTGCCAACTAGATGCAATCTGTGTGTCTGAAAATGATGGATGCACCAATTTGCAACTGAGGGAGACTTTCTGATATGTGCCTGAGTCATAGGGTTAGATCCAAATATGAGAACTTAGCAGACCAAATATGAAACGAACAAGTATGGAAACCACGACATGCAGTGAAATATCTACACGCACCATTTCGCAAAGCCCTTGGTTTTCCTCAGTGATGGCGAACCCCCCATCACTTACTCCGTCCCTTCGAATGAACAGGAGCCCATGGCTTACGGGTTGAACCAAACGCGATGAATGTTTAGTGACCAAACATGGGGATTCAACTACCTAAAAATGGGGATGTCTTGGAAACACAGAGTCACTGGTGAAATTGGTATGTCTTGGTGTTATGGCCATCCAGTAAAAGTGGGATGATTGAGAAGTTAAAGTTTGGCATACTGTTCAAAGTCATCTCGCATCATCTGAATATTGACAACCAAAAACTTACCTGCCCATATTTGAAATCACCACTGAAAAGAATTGAGCTATCTAAACTCTAAACGATGGAGGTACCTAAACTAAGTAAGGCCTAAGGCCTAAACATATATGTTTATGTGTATATATATAATTGTATGTATGTATGTATATAAGCCGCTGCGTGCCACGCATCAATGGGCTGAATGGGAAAAAGAAATATACTCATATATATATATATTATTATTGACGCATATAAGGGGATACACTACAAATATGCCTGATATGTCCTAGTACCTTCATTTTGGGCACGTGCGTTCCTATTCTGTCGGCAATGGGCCCTGTCGCAGTCGGTAAAACAAGGGTTGAGTCCGTCGTTGGGGCTCGTGCAAGTGTATGACGGTCAGCCAGTGATGAAGAGCCCAGGGCAAAAGCTGCGCTATGGACACCCACGTTCGGCTGCTCTTGCAAAACCATGATGCCGTCGGAGGAATGAGGTAAACATGTCAAGCTCTCTCCGAAACGTATGTTTGTCGGCCGGCCTTCAATGATCGCTTCTTGCAACGCTGAGGCGAGGGGATTGGCCAAACGGAGCGGGCGGGCCAGGGTCGGCCCAGGGGCCAGTGAGTATTTCACCACAGAATCCAAAGGATCAGGGAATCCCGTGGGCACCACATCCATTTGATGTGGTGCACTCGTTGCCCCCGCAGCTCCACGAGTAGCATGCCCTCCACGTTGTGCTTCCATGCTATGGGGATATAGTCGCCATGCGATCCAAATGAATGGAGTCGGGAGTGGTGAACTCCCAAAGCTTACCCACAAATACCATGACTTTCACACCAAAACAGCTGGTATTTGCATGTATTTACCAGACCAGTTAGAAGTGAGTTATATCAATGGCCATGACTCAGGAAGCGATTGATTGGAGGTACCTACCATATATCTTAGGCCTATTTTTCAGGCCTAAATTTCAGGGAATATCACCAGAAAATATGGCCAGAAATGTGGTACAGTACCTACATTTTAGGATCCTGAAATTCCCATTGATGATATTCTCTGGTAAACTAACAGTTTGCTATAGAAAAATGGATAAGAATGGCCCATCTATAGTTGATTTACCTCTAAAAATAGTGATTTTCCAGTTCGCAAACTGTTTTGGGGGTAAGCCTATGATAGTTGATATAATATCTCCAAATATATTGAATTATATTCCCATGATCTATCCCATGATCTATCGTATTATTAGCCACTGCTTATGAAATAATTCACAAAAAAATGTTTGTTATAGTTCTTCATAATGATTAACCACGAATTATGGTGATTTTCCATAGTTTTTTGCATGTTTAGAGGGTAAATCCCAGTTCACCCAGTTTGATCATTGGACATTCCCCTAGTTGACTACCGAGGTGAACCACTTTTAAAACTGCCCATGTGTTGAACATGCAATAGGAATTGGATATACTAATCCTGGTTTACTAATCGATCATAATAGATATATATATATAGTGGTTATAATATACCAATAATAGTGATTATGTATGGTTATATGATGGGATTGTAGATATCACATAACTGGTTAGTGGTTGACCTACCCCTCTGAAAAACGATGGAGTTCGTCAGTTGGGATGATGATATTCCCAACTGAATGGAAAAAACATGTTTGAAGCCACCAACCAGATAGGAATTGGATCGAACATAAATAGAAATGTGGAAAATTCCCCGTTTGTCCTCGGGTTGACATGTTAAAAACATGTCCAAACAATGCGGGGATGTTGGATACCCATATCCCATATCTCATATCCTGGTGGGTGTAATAATTCACTATTGACATGTCACAATGACATTATAGTCCGATTACCATCCAATAAAGGAAAGATAATAGTATACCAACACTTGATTAGCATGTAAAAGGTGTTTAGCGTTCTCTATCTGTTTGGGATTATTGTATACATAAATGCCTTCCCCCCAAAACATTGAATACCACCAAACGCAGCCATGTTTTAGTATAGTATTGGATCTATAGTCATTGTCAGGTCCCAAACATTTCGGCTATTTACTTATTGTTTTACATATAATTTTTGATATTTTATTATTATATATACATATATATATATGAACTGTATATGTACTGTAGTATATATGTAGTATATACATTTGTATACATGTTATTTCATTTTATGTCTTTATCATGTTCGGTTATGCTATCCCCATTTCTGAGACATGTTTCCCCGTCCATGGGTAAACCTATAGATAATGTGATATGAAACGAAATGCGGTATATCATGGTATGAATCCATTTTTGTGTCCCCATGCTATTGAAAATGATCATTTATAGTGGATTTACCCATTAAAAATGATGATTTTCCTTAGTGTTAGTTTACCAGAGGGTATCCCAAAAACTGTTGTATGTTTTTTCATCACCGTGTTACATCCATTGTGATAAAATGCCCATGTCGGATGCTGTCACTCATCATGGCCAATCAGCCAGATACCCTGCAAAAAAACATCTTAGCTGGTTAGTAAGTAGATAATCCCATACCAAAATACCAAAAGACTAGTTAGGATTGGTTTGTACCCATCCAAGATTGACCTAGCTATAGAGAATTCAAATAGATATCGTGATGTCACAACTATAGGATCTGGTTGGTGGTTTGAACCCCTCTGAAAAATATGAAAGTCAGTTGGGATGATGACTTTCCCAATATATGGAAAGTCATAAAATTCATCTTCCAAACCACCTACCAGCATTCATTAACTAGTTCGTTATATCTACCATAAACCCAATCGAATTCAGCCACTTATAGGTTCCAAACCACCAACCAGGGATTAGAAACTCTACCCATTCAGTCGATTGCCGTCATATCAAGCCCTTCGCCTTCTGGGAAGTTGTGCAACGCAATCGCTGCCCCAGAGAAGGCCGCCATCTGCAGCATATTCCTCAGGTCGTGCCACTAAGATAGTGAACTTGCTGCAAACCAGGTGAATTCTAGTAGTTAAACTAGTGAAAGGGGTTTATAAGATTTTATACAGCAAGTGATATAACCAGGTGAATTTTATTATATAGTTGAACTATTGTTCAATTCTATTTGTTGAACTAGTGAAATCGAGTGAAATGATAAAAACAGTCTAAAACTAGGGTTTATGGATGTAAGAATGGTTAGTTTATGGATTTAACCATGGCGAACAAAAACCCGATAAGTTGGGATATGGGGCCCCTATAAAATATTGATATGTGTATATATATATAGTATATACAGTATGTATATATATAGTGTATCTATAATATATATATATATAGTACATAATGTATAATATATATATATATATATATACGTATATATATATATATATGGTCCCGTGTCCCGTGTTCCCACCCCCCGTATGATGCCCCTGTGGTGGTGGTACGTATGTATGTATGCATGGATGTATGTATCTATGTATGCATGCATGCATGCATGCATGTATGTATGCATGCATGTATATTTATATCTATATACATGTTACATGCATTTCTCTATGATAGTGTATGTGTACGTACACGCATATATACATATATACATACAT